TTTCTTGTTTTCTTATTGTTAAAGGAGTCCCTCTAACATTTCTTTTTATACGATTTGTTGGTAATGAACTCCTTTAAATTTTTCTTGTCTGGGAAGCTCTTTATTTTTCTTACAACTTTAAAGTTATAGCATTTGTTAAGTAGAGTCCTCTTGCTTGTGGGTCCTTGCTTTTAATGTTTGAATATTTCATGCCAGTCTTTCCTGGCTTAAAATGTTTTTGTTGAGAAATCAGCTGACAGTCTAATGGGAGCTCCCATGTGAATAAATCCTTTTCACTTGCAGCTTTTAAGATTTTCTCTTTGTCTTTAACCTTGCCATTTTAATTATGTTGTGTTTTGGTGTGGGTCTCTTTGGGTTCTTCTTGTTTGGGACTCTCTGTGCCTTCGGGACTTGAGTGTCATTTTGCTTCACCAGGTTAGTTAAATTTTTAGTCGTTATTTCTTTAAATAGGTTCTTAATCCCTTGCTCTTTCTTTTCCTCTCTAGTGGATGTTGTTACATTTCATGGTTTCCCAAAACTCTCCTCCATAAAACTCTCCTTATTTAAAAAATTTTTTTTTCTTTTGCTGCTCTGAGTAGGTGATTCACTTCTGCTTTGTCTAATCTGTTGATTTCTTCTAGTGTATTTGTAGTTTCTGACTGCCTTTTTATGGTTTCTGTGTCCTTTTTTTATGCCGTTGAAATTCTGTGTTCCTTGAGCATCCTTATAACCATTGTTTTGAGCTCTGTATCTGATAGATTGCTTGTCTTTATTATATTTAGTTCTTTTTCTGAGGATTCCTCCTGCTCTTTCATTTGGTGCATGTTTCCTTGTGTCTTCATTTTGGCTACCTATCTATGATTGTTTCTATGTATTAGGTGATATGCTATGTCTCACAGTCTTGGTAAGGTGGGCTTATGGTAGTAGGTGTTCTTGGGACCCATTGGTGCAGTCTCCCTTTTAACCTGACCTGGGTGCTGAAGGAATGTCACTTGTGTGGGTAATGTGAGCCTTCCTGTTATAGTTGAGTCTTTTTTTTATCCTCACCTGAGGATATGTTTATTGATTTTAGATAGAGAGGAAGAGAGGGACAAACATCCATGTGGAAGAGAAACATCAATCGGTTGCCTCCTGTATGTGCCCCAGCTGGGGTTTAAACCTGCAACCTAGATATGTTCCCTGACTAGGGATCAAATCCTCAACCTTTTGGTGTACATGTTCATACTCCAACCAGTTGAACCCTTGACCAGGGCTATCGATGAAATCTGATTACTCTTGGCCCTTGTATGCATGGAGTTGTTCCTCAGGCTTGCTGACTTGAGGCTTGATTTTGACTACAGTGTATAAGCTGTTTTTATAGGTGCTGACCATACGAAGTAGAATTTGGCTTAGCTGGGTCTGGTGCCTGATGAGATCTTCCTTTGGATATATTGCTTGTGAAGCTAATTGGGTCCTGCCCTGATGTTACCTGAAACGTGCCACTGTGTGTGTTTGTTCTGGGAACCCTTGAGAGGGACTCCAGTGCAGATCAATGTCATATACTGCCTTTGACTGGTTCTGGGCAACCTGTTTGGAGCTACCAAGTGATCCACAGTTTGTGGCTGTCTCTGTTGGGCCTGGGTTTATGTGGGAATGACCAAACTGCACACCAAGGTGGGCTTCAGACCAGCACTGAACCCAGGAGCAGGTCAGCAAAAGACCCAATGCTCCCTGAGATTACCTCTGCTTGTTTTTACCTGATGGCTGCATCTTAGGTACAGCCACTGAATGAGCCTTTGATGGTACATGAGTTGCATGAAGTAGGTTCTTAGTGAGTTACCAAGTTTGGGTAAGTGGTATTCCCTAGATTGATACAGATTCATACTTAGTGGCAGTGCTGGGTCTAAACAGCTCAGCAAAAGTCCCAGGATACACCTAGGCCAGCTTCCACCTGCTGGGTACCTACAGCATACCTGCAAACCTTTGTGGTGGGGGTCTCAGAAAGTCATCAGGGAGAGTCCAGCAGCATTTATCAGGCTCAAACAGAACAAGATTTAGCCATGAAGGCAGGGCTCTGTACTAGTTGGGTTTGCAAGGGGAAAATGGATCCTATTCTAGAACCACACAGCTCAATCTGTCCCCTTTCCTGGCCAGACTTCCTCAAGAACTCTAGTTCAGCAGGGCAGAGCTGTTGGGAGTCAGGATTGTATGGATAGTAGATCTTCCTTTGAGTGGCAGTCTGGCAACCTCACAAGAAGGAGGGTGAATTACCTTGGCTTCTGAGCCCACCACTCAGTCTCTGACACTCCCTGAATTTGTCTGGACCTCTACTCAATTGGTCCAGGCAGCTGAGTCCAACACAGGGTGGGAGCTCTACAGGGCAAGGTGAGAGGGAGTTAGAAAGTTGGGACTCTTATTCCCCCAGGTTCATGCTCTGTGGAGGAGAGTGCTCTCTTGGCAGTATAGGAAAGGGAGTCAGTACAGGAAACCTGGTGGTTGTTTCTTTAGCTGTCTCTCCAGAGCCACACAACCCAGTATCTCCTCATACAACTCTAGTTCACTGCAAGCCGCTCTCCCTCCACAGGAGCCCAGTATGAGTGGCTGTGGATAAAATCTTCTGCACTGGCCTTTTAAGAGGGGACCTGGGTTTCTAGCAGATCACTGTCTCTCTCTGACAGATAGAATCCCTGCTGTTTTCACAGCCAGATGCTATGTGGGTACCTCCTTCTAGCTCTGGTGCTGTAGGCTGGGGAGCCCAGTGCAGCAGTCTCACTCCTAAGGGAGAACCTTTCTATCTGATATATATCTCTGAATTCTCAACTATTACACAAAAGGTGCAGGGCCAGCCCTTTACATGTCTCCACCCTTCTTACCATTTTCATGGTGGCTTCCTCTATAATCCTTGGCTATAAGGTTTCTGCTCAGCTAGTCTTCAGTTGTTATAGTCAGGTTGACTGTCCTAAATTTTAGTTGTAATCCCAGTTTGGTCCTGAGAGGAGGTGAGAATAACATCTACCAACTCCACTGCCATTGTAGATCTTCAGTCAATATCAGTTTTCTTAAGAAACAATTAACTTTAGGTCTTAAAGTGATGGTGGAGTCATTTGACAATTGAGGCTTATTGTATCTTCCTCAGCCTGTTGGCAGTACCTGCTCCCCCAGGTGCCTTGTGCCTTCAGATTCAGAGGTATAACATGCCTATTCTCAGGCATCCAAGCTTTTCACTGTGCACTTCAATCAGAAGATATTGGTTAAGACCAGACCTAGCTATGTTCTTTCTGTTGCTTCCAAGTTGTACTCACTTGCCCACCCTTGCCCCAGGGTCCTAACCTATCTGCCCCATAGTGAGTAATGAAGGCAGGCAGAGATGAAGGGTGTGTGAGCCTCATCTGTGTGCCCTGTAGGACTATGGCATATTGAAGCCATCTGCAGAGCTGCATTCAGCTCACTGTCTTTCAGGGGTTTTCAGGTCAAAGGTCAGCAATCTTTAGTTATTGCAGAACTGCTCAGGGCTGATCCCACTCTATAGTGCTAGAGTTCTAAAGGAACAGGCACACCAACTAAACTTTCTTGCTCAGATACACAGAGTTTGGCTGCATCCAGGCAGCTGTAACCAGTACACCTGAGAAGCATTTGCTCAAGTCAAGGCTTTCCAACCTGGTTGCTAGGCAGAGGGTGAGGGGAGGACCAGGGGCTTTGTTTACATGTTCTTTGTGAATCTTACAACATAGTGTGTGATATAGATCATACCTTTTCCATTTGTTTTAAGGGAAAAAGGAGGAGCAGCAACAGGTAGCCCTTTCTGATGGAAGCAAAGACTACTTTGTTCAAAGGGAGAGTCTTTAGGGACACTTCCACTCCAGAGCTCCATGAACCCCTGCTGAGTCATGGTTAAAAACCACTGATCTATTCCAAACATATCACTTAATAATTGAATTAAGTGAATCCCAGAAAAGTAAAATGACTGCATAATTGGTCATCAGGGACCAAGATGGGCACCTAGATAGCCTGGTTCCTGATGTAGTTATATCGATTTCCTTATGATTCTAGGCTATTCATATCCTTTTCACCATAATATATCTTTGGTGCTTTTTTTTTTACCTACAATAAGCCAAATTTCAAAATATAAAAATATAGTTAGTATTCTTTGTACATATATGCAAAGATGACACCATTAATATTTTTACACCATGGCGAGACCAGGACTTCCTTTGTATGCATATATGTTAGTAATTGTAGCATATTTTTTAAGTCGACAGGGCATGTCTTTGTTTTTAACATTGTATTTTGAAAAATGTTTGCTGTAAGAACATTAATCACTTTTTTTATCCTTACCTGAGGACATGTTCACTGATTTTAGAGAGGGGGAGAAAGGGAAAGAGAGAGGGAGAGAAATATCAACATGAGAGAGAAACATTGACCTGTTGCCTCTTGCATGCACCCCAGTGGAAGACTGAATCTGCAGCCTAGGCATGTGCCTTGACCAGGAATCAAACGCCTGACATTTCAGTCTACAGGACAATGCTCTTACCATCTGAGCCACACTGACCAGGGCTATCACTTTTTTTTTCAACAGGAGCATAATGAAATTTCAAGACTGAAAAAGTTCAATGCTAGACATTTTATATTTTAAATTATAAAATCAGTTGAAATAACACCGTCTTCCAACTTAAGAACAAAGCTTTCATCAGTCATTCTGATTTTCAGCCTTCCTAAAGATTCTGCTCCCAACAGGGTGTCCCTGAGCACACAGTAGTATATCAGTATGCTCCTGGGCCTGGCATCTCTTCAAGGTTGCTAGGAATGGCTGGGTTTTCCTGGGACTCATCAAAACTGGACACTCTTGAGCATGGAGAACTTGGGGTACCCATGGAGAGAAGGGGCTCAGGATCTAATGTGGTTCATTGGCTTTGCCATCTTGTTCTACTGACTTCATTATATCTGCCTATTGACTTGACTGTCTATTTAATTTCCTGCTTATTGTCCCTACCACACTTTGCACTCCCTGATAGTAGAGGCCTCATCTGATCTGTTCATCCCTGTCTCTCCCTAGAACAGCATCTGGAATACAGTTGATTAAAGTCAGAATAAAAAATGAATACAGGAATGATTCAGTATCTGTGTGTGTTGTCCCAGGGTGCTAATTCTGTTGAATCACTTTATTCATTTTGAGTCCCCTCTAACACTGATTTTGTTTACTGTTTAGATAGCCAGAAACTTGCTGTTTTCAACCTTTTCCATCTCATGGAAAACACTAATTACTAAAATTCTGCAGCACACCAAAAGAATATTTTTTGCTGATCTGACAAAAAATAGGTATAATTTTGATTCATTCACATGTGATGACTGTGGTTGTGTTAGCTTTTGTAATTTTTTAAAAAATTTGACAGTGTAAGGAAAAAGAGGTCAGTACCCATGACTAGTCAGTTATTGCATGTTTTAAAAATTTTTGCAGCAGACCAGTTAAAAATCCTTTTTTAAAATCATTTAGGTTTATGTATTTATATTCACACAGAAAGAAAAACTGCACAAAATTTCTTGTTAAATTAGTGAATAACCATATCTTATTTTTACCTTTTATATTCAACTTGGCCAATTTAAGTTAGCTGATGCTCCTACATTCTGAAAATTGTTATGAATCTCAACTTTTCCATAAGATCTTTTTCTGTTTTTAGCCATCTGGTTTAAGCCTTGATTCTTGATTCTAACAGTCTTCCTTGTATTATTTTTCTTCTTTATGTTGTAACTTGAAAATCCTAGATATTAAGAGAGGGGGCTTAGAAATGACCTGCTTAAATGGGTAAATTAAAATTTCACAAGTTGACCAGGTTGACCAAGATGGGCATTCAGGTATCCTGATTCCTGGTGTAATTATTTCCTTATCATTCCAAGCTACACATGTCTTTAGTGCTTTTTGAAATAGTCTTATCCATAATAATCAAACTTGAGAGCTGGTTTTTTTCAAGTTTACACGAAAAGTTGGTAGTAATAAGTACGCTAATGCATACTACATTTTCCAGATGCTTTTCATTTTGTGGTTCTCATAGCAGCCCTGTAAGGCTGGAAGTTTTCAAGGGTGGTGAGTGAACTATTAAAAGATTAAACAACTGAAGTTCAAAAGATTAGCATAACTTTCCCAATGATGCCTTAAGTTGGGCAGTCTGGTGGCTTAAGTCCCAGACTGAGACTTTAAGTTCCTAGTCCGGTGCTTTTCAAGACACAAAACTGATAGTAACAAGAGAAGTCAACACAGTTTCTCTATATGTATATTATAAATTATTTTGAAAATATAGATAAAATAACATTATGTAATGAAAATTCTAATGTATAGTTGTGGTAGTGTCCAGTATGTAGTAAATATTAATAGCTTTATTGAGCTGAGTAAAAGAATATATACACTTGAGCAAACCAGGGTAAAGAAGATCGGTGCTAAAAATGACCAATGGAGCAAAAATTTTCAAAAGCTCATGCAATAGGTTTATATTTGCTTGGGTATAGTTAAGGGTAATTAACTTTAAGCAAACTCCACTGCTTTCCATAAAACCTTTTGATCATGAGTAAAGAATAATGAGGGTGATCTAAATATACTGCTATTCTTTTTATACTTACAGAAAATTTTCAAAATAGGATAGAACTCACATGTACCCTTCTCTCAGCTTTCCCTATATTAAAAATCTCATAAATACCCCAAGTACAATTTTCAAAACCAAAAATTAACATTAAAATAGTATTTTAATTTCACATATGTAATTAATAGGAGGAACTAAAGCTAACTCAATATTTATGTCTATTTATACCACTAATTGTAGCATAATCTCTTAAAGAAAATTAATAAATTATTGTTTTAACTTTAGAATAATAACACCCATTCATGAATTCTTTGTATAATTTTTTTCTGCCATTCATTTCTTAGTCTGGAACCATAGCATACATAACTTTTTAATGTACTTAAGGGGTTCCCAACAGTACTCACAGGTTAATTGTAAAGGACATGCTTATTTTGCTCCAGACTCTTTCACTCACGCTCAGCAGTATATAACATCTTTATTCCCATGTGAAAAACTTTGCAATGAAATGGCTTCTTTCTGGAGTATGTAACTAAAAACTTACCTAAAAGTGCTAGAACATTAAACTTTCTAGATATATTTTTGGTTTTTTATCTCTAGATTAATTAATCAGGTAGGCTAGCATAATGATACTGAGTATAGCATGACATGATATCTGTCATTCATGATAAGTACTACTACAACAAATATATAAATACAGTTTATAAATGACAAAGGAAAATGTAGAATTACTTGATATTCTGTGGCTTAAGAATGATACTTGAATATGATCTTATGCATGAAAATGCATAGGGTGATATTTCTCCTGTTTTAATATAATTGTTTTCAAGATGAAGATATTCCAGTGTTGAATCATCGTTTTCTTCAGTACTGCAAATTTGTTCTGGAAGAATATTCCTAAGGAAAAATAGACATGAAAGTCAAAATAGTTGAAGCTATATTCTACCTTCATAATTTAGGAGTTAAATTTTTTATTTATTTTAAAAATCTATTGTTTTGAAATAAAATTGATCCTTTTTTAATATTGTATACAAAAAAAGTTCCAAATATGTCAAAGATCTAAATGTGAAAAATGAAGCCATAGATGTATTAGAATAAAGAAAGCACACTGTGGGAGCAGGGGAAAATCTTCCTACTTGTAATTTAAAAACTAAAAGCATTAAGAGATTAGATTAATAAATAGACTACATGATTTTTAAAATTTTTATTTAGTTATTTTTCAATAGGTGTTTTTTGTCTATTCTCCCATCCCAGCCTCCCCCGACTCGTGCTCCCAACCTCCCTCCCATTTCCACCCCCCTTAGTTCTCGTCCCTGTGCCCTTCCTATTTGTTCCTCCAAATCCCTCCCCATTTTTCCCCTTAAATTCCCTTCCCTCTCCCCTCTGGTCACTATCCCCTTGTTCTCTATTTCAGTGTCTTTGTTTTTATTCTGCTTGCTTGTTTGTTTTGTTGTTTAGCTTCCTGTTAAAGGTGAGATCATATGGTATTTGTCTTTCAACCCCTGGCCTATTTCACTCAGCATAATGCTTTCCAGTTCCATCCATGTTGTTGCAAAGGGTAGGAGCTCCTTCTTTTTCTCTGCTGCATAGAATTCCATTGTGTAAATTTACCACAATTTTTGGATCCATTCATTTACTGGTGGGCACCTAGGTTGCTTCCAACTCTTGGCTATTGTAAATTGTGCTGCTATGAACATTGTGGTGCATAGGTTCTTTGAAATTGATGTTTTAGGATTCTTAGGACATAATCCTAGCAGTGGAATTGCTGGGTCAAAAGGCAGGTCAATTTTTATTTTGGGGGGAAAATTCCATACTGTTTTCCATAATGGTTGTACCAGCCTGCAATCCCACCAACAATGAACTAATGTCCCCTTTTCCCCACACCCTCTCCAACATTTGTTGTTTGTTGCTTTGTTTATGATAGCCATCCTGACTGGTATAAAGTGGTATCTCATTGTGGTTTTAATTTGCATCTCTCTGATAGCTAATGATATTCAGCATCTCTTCATGATGTTCTGTATGTCCTCCTTGGAGAAGAGCCTGTTCAAGTCCTTTTCCCATTGTTTAATTGGGTTGGTTGTCTTCTTAGAGTGGAGTGGTATAAGTTCTTTGTATATTTGGGGGATTAAACCTTTGTCTGAGGTATCATTGGCAAATATGTTTTCCCATACAGTTGGTTGTCTTTTAAATTTAATACTGTTTTCTTTAGCCATGCAGAAGCTTTTTATTTTGATGAGATCCCATTTGTTTATTCTTTCTTTTATATTCCATGCTCTAGGGGACATATCAGTAAAAATGTTGCTGCATGAAATACCTGAGATTTTCTTGCCAATGTTCTCCTCTAGGACTTTAATGGTGTCACAGCTTACATTTAAGTCTTTTATCCACCTTGAATTTATTTTGGTATATAGTGTAAGTTGATGCTCAAGCATCATTTTTTTGCACATAGCTGTCCAGTTCTCCCAACACCATTTGTTGAAGAGGCTGTCTTTACTCCATTTTATGTTACTGCCCCCTTTGTCGAATACTAATCGACTGCAGAGAGTTGGGTTTATTTCTGGGCTCTCCATTTTAATCCATTGGTCTATGTGCCTGTTTTTGTGCTAGTACCAGGCTATTTTGATTACAGTGGCCTTGTACTACAGTTTGATATCAGGTATTGTGATCCCCCCTACTTTGTTCTTCTTTCTCAAAAGTGCAGCTGCTATTTCGGGTTGTTTATGGTTCCATATAAATTTTCGAAGTGTTTGTTCTATGTCGGTGAAATATGCCATTGGTACTTTAATAGGTATTGCATTGAATCTGTATATTGCTTTGGGTAGTATGGACATTTTGATGGTGTTAATTCTTCCAATCCATGAACAGGGTATATGTTTCCATTTGTTTGTGTCTTCCTTGATTTCTTTCTTCAGGGCTGTGTAGTTTTCTGCATACAGGTTTTTTACCTCCTTAGTTAGGTTTATTCCCAGATATTTTATTTTTCTTTTTGCTATATCGAATGGGATTTTTTCCTTGATTTCTGCTTGTGCTGATTCATTGTTGGTATACAAAAATGACTTTGATTTCCGTATATTGACTTTGTAACCTGCTGTTTTGCCAAATTCATTAATTAGTTCAAGCAGTTTTTGGGTAGAGTCTATAGGATTTTCCATGTGCACTATCATGTCATCTGCAAACAGTGACAGTTTTGCTTCTTCCTTTCCTATTTGAATGCCTTTTATTTCCTTTTCTTGCCTGATCGCTGTGGCTAAAACTTCCAATACTATATTGAATAGAAGTGGTGAAAGTGGACATCCTTGTCTTGTTCCTGATCTTAGTGGAAAAGCTTTTAGTTTTTGACCATTGAGTATGATATTGGCTGTAGGTCTCTCATATATGGCCTTTATTATATTGAGGAATGCTCCCTCTATTCCCACTTTGCTGAGTGTTTTTATCATAAATGGGTGTTGTACCTTATCAAAAGTTTTTTCCGAGTCTATTGATATGATCATGTGGTCTTTGCTTTTATTTATGTGATGTATTACATTTACTGATTTGCGAATATTGAACCATCCTTGCATCCCTGGGATGAATCCCACGTGGACATGGTGTGTGATCTTTTTGATATATTGTTGGATGCAATTTGCCAATATTTTGTTGGGGATTTTAGCATCAGTGATATTGGCCTGAAGTTTTCTTTCTTTGTTGTGTCTCTACCTGGTTTTGGAATTAGGGTGATGCTGGCTTCATAAAAAGAATTTGGGAGTTTTCCATCCTTCTGGATTTTTTGGAATAGTCTGTGGAGAATAGGGGTTAGCTCTTCCTTAAATGCTTTGTAGAATTCTCCTGTGAAACCATCTGGTCCAGGGCTTTTTGTGATGGGGGTTTTTCGATTACTGCTTCCATTTCATTTGCTGTTATTGGCGTGTTTAGATTTTCTTCTTCTTTTTCATTGAGTTTTGGAAGATTGTATTTTTCCAGAAATGTGTCCATTTTTCCTAGGTTTTCAAATTTCTTGGCATACAGTTCTTCATAGTAATTTCTTACAGTCCCTTCTATTTCTATGGTATCAGTTGTAATCTTTTCTCTTTCATTTCTGATTGTGTTTACTTGTGTCTTCTCTCTTCTTTTCTTGATGAGCCTACTTAAAGGCTTGTCTCTTTTGTTTATCTTCTCAAAGAACCAACTCCTGGATTCATTGATACTTAGAATTGTGCTTTTAGTTTCTATGTCATTTAATTTTTCTCTAATCTTGGTTATTTCCTTCCTTCTGCTTGCTCTGTGCTGTCTTTGTTGTTGTTCCTCAAGTTCTTGCAGGCGTAGGGTTAGGTTGTTTGTTTGAAATGTTTCTATCTTCTTTAGGTAGGCCTGTATTGCTATAAACTTCCCTCTCAGGACTGCCTTTGCTGTGTCCCATAAGTTTTGGGTTGTTGTGAGATCATTTTCATTTGTTTCCAGAAGCGTTTTGATTTCTTCCCTAATTTCATTCTTGACCCATTCATTGTTTAATAGCATACCATTCAGTCTCCATGATTTTGGGTGTTTTGGGTTTTTTTCTTTGGGGTTGGTTTCCAATTTCAGTCCCTTGTGGTCAGAGAAGATGCTTGGTATGATTTCACTTTTCTTGAATTTTTTGAGGCTCGTTTTGTGTCCTATCATGTGGTCTATTTTTGAAAATGTTCCACGTGCATTTGAAAAGAATGTGTATTTAGCTTCTGTGGGGTGAAGGGCTCTGTATATATTAGTTAAGTCCATTTCATTAAGGGTGTTGTTTAATGCTGCAATATCTTTGTTGATATTTTGTTTGGAAGATCTGTGAATTTTTGTTAGTGGGGTGTTAAAATCCCCTACTATAATTGTGTTGCTGTCAATATCTTTCTTGAAGTGCTCTAAGATTTTCTTGATATATTTGGGTGCCCCTATGTTTGGTGCATATATGTTTAAGATGTTAATGTCTTCTTGGTGGATTCTTCCCTTGAGTATAATGAAGTGACCTTCTGGGTCTCTCTTTATGGCCCTTTTATTGAAATCTATTTTGTCCGATATGAGAATTGCTACCCCAACTTTTTTTTTCTGTCCATTTGCTTGGAAAATGTGTTTCCAGCTTTTCACTTTTAGTCTCTAATGGTCTTTTATCCTGAGGTGGGTCTCTTGTAGGCAGCATATGTGTGGGTCATGCTTTCTTATCCATGCAGCTATTCTGTGTCTTTTGATTGGAGCATTTAATCCATTTACCTTTAAGGTTACTATTCATAGGTACTTATTCATTGCCGTTTTTGTACCTGTGTTCCTTTCTGTCTTCATCTTTTCCTTCCTTCCCTTAAAGCAGTCCTTTTCGTATTTCTTGTAGAGCTGGTTTGGTGGAGGCGTATTCTTTTATACTTCTTTTGTCTTAGAAGCTCTTTATTTGGCCTTCTATCTTGATTGAGAGCCTTCCTGGGTAAAGTAGCCTTGGTTGTAGGCCTCTGAGACTACATGTTCTTTTTTTTTTTTTTTTTATTGATTATGCCATTACATTTGCTCTATTCCCCCCCTCCATTCCCCTCCACTCTGCATACCCCTCCCCCACCATTTCCGCCTTTAGTTAATGAACACGTGTCTCAAATTCTTTAGATTCTGTATTTCCCCTACTATTCTTATCCTCCCCCTTAACTATTTTCTATCTACTGTCTATGCTACTTATTTTCTGTACCTTCTCCCCCCTTCTCCTCCTCCCACTCCCCTTTTGCTAACCCTCCATGAGATCTTCATTTCTATGGTTCTGCTTCTGATCTAGCTGTCCTCTTAGTTTGCTTTTGTTTTAGGTGTGGTTGTTACTAACTGTGAGTTTGCTGTCCTTTCACTGTTCATCTTTTTTTATCTTCTTTTTCTTAGGTAAGTCCCTTTAACATTTCATATAATAAGGGCTTGGTGATGAT